ATTATGTGATAAAACCCTTTTACACACAATACTACAACACAAAGTCCATTCTTCATATTGATTTACATGTATATCAATTTGAACCAATTTCCTGCTACTTATTGTTTATGTTGAATCAAACAAATAGGTACACATTGCTTTCATTGGTTTCCTTGATTGCTTTATTTCATATTTACACCGACATTGATACGTTTCATTTTAATTTCATTTTTGTTAAAGATATACTTTGTTATCTGAAAACTTGCTAAACTTCCTTCGGAGAAAACGTTTCGTTAGCTGTAAAGGATATATAGCAATTCCACCAAGATGATTGCCTTGTTTACATAGACAGATACAAGATGGCTGTTTTTTTCTCTCTCGTGATTAACATCTGCTAGACAAGAATGGTGAAATGGACAGCGGCTGTCATGTTGAGATACCTATGATGGATTGCAGTAAAAACGTAACTAGGTGAAGGGCAAAAAGGAAGTCGCGGAGGAATACACTTTTTTGTTTAAAGATATATAATCTTAATTCTGTTTCGTCATGTATATGTGTACGTTAGATCTTTACTTGATGGATTGAGCTGCAATCGGAGTCATACCATGTTTTTTAATCTCCTCAGAACAGATATGACCAGATACGAAGCTTGTTTCATAAGTAAATATACGTACACATATACATACATAAAGAGTTATAACATGTATGGCTCATAGAATTTAGGTCAAGTAAGAATAGGGTAAACTTATTACAGCATGGTAAGAATACGGTAAATACAGCGGCTGATCCTGTTGAAAACATTGGTGAAAGATTTTCTCACTAAAGTCATCGCCTGGACATTACGGTCGCCATAAACAACAATTAGTATATACAACGGGGTCATAAAATATCTCCCTATCAGTCCGCTCATCAGTACTTTAATACAATTTATTGTTCTTTGCATAGTAAGGTAAACACAAACAGCCCGACCGTAAAAATATATAGGTAGTCTCCATTCGGAATCCATATACCCTTTACTATAAAGGCAGATGTTATCGGAACGATTCCGTCGTTATGTGGCCTTAATGGGGGTTGGGACCAGTTGATGGGTTAAATATGTTACCCCCTCACTCTGACCCTGGCGAAGCTTTTACAAGGCAATAGAAGATCCCCATTTGGACACCGTAGTGGAAATAATGAAATAATTTTTATCTTGTTGATCTGATTTTTGTTTATATAATCATAACTCACCATTAGAAAGGCCTTTCTGACGTTATCATTTTACATTTTATAGTTTGCATAAGCGCTCTGCTGTGGGAGGGCCGACTTCTTCT